TTAAGCACGAATAGCAGGGTATGACTCAAACTTTTCTCAAAGAATATTAAGGATTATGATCTTGAAAATGAAATACAAAGCGAATAGCTACAAAAGATGCATCTCTGTTGTCATGAAAAGAGTGCCGCACCTCAAGCTCTTCGTATTCATCGTAAAACCAGCTTCATATGACACATTTACATCTCTTCAAAATTCGAAGCTTGCCCTAAGTCGAAAGCTTACTTTTAATTATAAGAGTCTATGTATAGATTTTCAGAATGGACTTGTTAGCTTGCACTGAGGTGAATTGCTTACTCAATTGAGCGATACGTTGAAGGTTATTCCCTTGCCGAAGTATTATTCTGGACCTATAAGGAAATTCAAATATCCCTAAAAGGCTCGCTTGTTGTCAATTCCAGTGAGATCAGATTTGAGGTTTCTCCAACCATTGTCAGTGCCTCTATTTGTTCACATATTTGTGAGAACGGTGCCCGGGCCGTGATGCCATCCTAGTGACTGCCCCCGAAGTTTTCCCGATGCTCAATACGCAAATATTAGCAACTCTATTCGCCAAGACGCAGGATCGTCTTGCATTTAAGTCACACGGAGATAGATGCCGGCTAGCTTACGATCTTGCGTTGCATTACAAATCAATCACAGACTTGTCGAGTATTGCTCAAGACAACTTTGACAATTTTGTGGTCTAGCATCTCTTTCATCTTAGAGTCGATAAGGGACTGTGCTTGTCAGCAGCGGTCGATTAATAAGCCGAGCACCAAAATATTTAAATCGATCGTGCTTGAGAGCTAGATCTTTCGATTCAACTCTACTATTCTTTCAAACACAAATATTTGCTATTCTAAGAATTTCATATCCGAAGAAACATGTTATATCTTGTCACAGGTTGTCGGGGAGGCATTGGACTGGAAATTGTCCGCGAACTAGCACGGGACTCTTCAAACACTGTCATTGCCGTAGTCCGCCGCTTGGATTCAGATATTACTTCTCTTGAAGCTATTAAGAATACCAACACGACTCAAGTTCATCTACTAGGATGTGACGTTAGCTCAGCAGACTCTGTGAAGAAACTTGCCTCTAGTGTTGGCGAATTCCTCGGGCCTGTCAAGATTGACAGACTTATCAACAACGCAGCAATACTTGGATGGAGGGAGGAAACAAGCCTCAATCTTTCCACAGATGCGTTATTGTCACATATCACCACCAACGTGATGGGACCAGCTATGGTTGTTCAAAATCTGCTCCCATACCTCGCTCCTCAGGCAGTCATAGCCAATATTACATCAGGTGCGGGCAGCATGGGGTTGCTTTCAGCAGGGCGAATTAAGGCGGAGAACACACCATATGGCATTAGCAAGGCAGCTCTGAACATGTTAACTATTCATCAAGCAAAGAACCTGCCTGAGAAGACGGTCGTGTGTATTGACCCTGGGCATGTCAAGACTGAGATGGGTGGACCAAACGCCGTTTTGGAGGTGCCTGACAGTGCCAGAGGGGTTCTCGGAGTTATTTCGAATTTGTCACAGCAGAGTACCGGGTCTTTCCTATTATATAACGGCACGAAACTTCCTTGGTAGTTTGACATGGCGGTCAAATTTCATACCAATCAATTAGGAGTGGGGGAGATAGATGCAAAGTCTGCAGCATTGTTCTTCGCAAGTTTAGCAGTACTGTAAATCTTGCTTTAGCGCTTAGCTCAATTGAAAGTTGTCGATATGTTAATTTATTAACCATCCCAGCGGCATGTCATGTAGTTTTGCATCCATCAATTATATTATGTTATTTGGTTTCGTATTTACAGGCTGGTATCCTTCAGCGTGCGCCTCAATATTCACATTTTCTGCATATATTATCCCCAAGCTACCCAGTGCTATCATCAATGATTTCCTTCCTCAAGAAACCGTTATTATACTGGTCAATCTGATATCTCGACTGCTGGCGCCGACACTGATCCCAAAGCTTCCTGTTGGCACAACCCAGTTCTGCCGTGTGACATCCCAGTAACTCAAATCTTTCCGTCGTAGGTTGAAAGTTGCCTTGCCGCTCGCGCCTGGTTCGATACTCAGCTTTGCAAAACCGCGTAATTGTTTCGGAGGCGAAGACGGGGCTGTAGATGGTAGGCTCAGGTACAATTGAGCCACTTCAGCACCAGCGACCGCACCCGTGTTGGATATGGTGGCGGTGACGGTAGCCACGCTGTCGTACAAATCTGCGCGCCCTCCTGGAGCAACTGTTCCAGTGGCTGGACCTGACTTAGCAGTTGAAGTTACAGATATGTCACTGTAGGTGAAATTTGTGTATGCTGCGCATAGAGGATGGTCAGTGTGCCAGAATTCGAGAGCCTTGTCAATGGAGCCACTCACAAAGTCCATATCCAAACTCGTATCGCGGGGATATTCCCGATTTATCAAAGTGACGATAGTCAATATATAAACCCTCACTATAGTTGTCGTCCCCTCTAACAACCGCTGTTCCGTAGTCTCCGGCTGTTTTCGCGATTGTATACGGCAGTTTTCCGGATGGGTTTGTCGAACCGTAGAGAATGTCGACTAACGCGTTACCTGACTCTTGTGAACCCAGACCAGCCCAAATTACCGCCTTAACGCCGTCTAGTGCCAGGATCGACTCCAGGATGACGGGTCCAACACTCTGTACGACAACGATTGTGTTCTTGTTCGCACTGGCGACGGCCTGAACGAGCTGGTTGCCGCTATGCCATGGGTCTAAGTTATTCCTGTCACCAGCATTGCTTTCTACAGTAATGTAACCTTCCCCCCCATCTGAGGTGATAACACAGATCGCGACATCCGCCCCAGATACCGTACTGGAAACCGAGCTTGTGCTGTCACTGCTGCTCAAAGTGAGTTGCGTACCATCCTGTTGGGTTCGAGTTTTCAAGGCATCATAAGGGGCAGTGAAGTAGGGGTAGTCTGCAGTTCCCGATCCCCAGCCCATTCCAAGAGCTCCGGTGTTGCAGCCTCTATCTGTGCAAGCGTTCCGTCCCTGTGGGTTGACCACGGATGCTGAACCAACAAGAGCAAGTTTCGATGGTTTCTTCAGGGGCAATATATCCTGGTTTTTCAGCAGAACAATGCCATCTCTGGCGACTGCCCTGACATTATCCTTGTGATTACCCTGGACACTTGCCTTGATGTTAATGGACGGAAATCCTTTGTCCTGTCCGACCAAATACCATGCAGCAAGAATTCTCCGGGCCATGTCATCCAAGCGCGTTTTCGACACCTGCCCATTGTTGACAGCTGTAGTCAGCTGAGGGCCCCAAAGAATTGTACGTCCATTATAATCGCTTCCAGGCATGGTCATATCCATCCCAGAATTCGCTGCTCCGTTCGTTGTGTGCTGTGCATTCCAATCGCTCATGACATAGCCTTGGAAGCCAAGCTCACTTTTGAGCAAATTGTTCAGTATTCCGTTGTTCTCGCAGGCCCAGCTCCCATTGATCTTGTTATATGAGCACATGACTGAAGCGCTTCCCGCTTTAACTGCATCAGCAAAGGGCCACAGGTATAGCTCGTGCATCGATCGATCGTCTACGGTTGAAGACATAGTCTCTCGGTTAAGCTCTTGTTCATTGAGAATGAAGTGCTTTGCGCTCGCTTGAATTCCAGCGCTTTGCATGCCGTCGATTGTTGCTGCCATCGCGGTTCCGGTCAAAAAGGGGTCAGGACCAAAACCCTCCCAATTGCGACCGCCCTGTGCGACTTTGCCTAGCGGGCCAGCAACAGGTCCTAGAAGCACATGAACTCCGCATCCCTTTGCTTCCTCACCCATGAACTGCCCGCGTTGTCTAATCAGATCGATATCCCATGTTGACGCCGCTTGGATGCCGGGCGTAAACGCAGTGACTGACGATCCGAATCTCACGCCCAAAGGGCCATCCTGGAGACATAGTTGAGGGTAGCTGATGGAGCCAATTGCTGCTGTGTTTCCAACGCAAGGGCCCTTATTCCAGCCAATTCCTGACACGATATTGACCTTGTCTTGTTGTGATAGCTTCGCAAGCGCGGTATCTGCCTTTGAATACGCCGCCGCCCAATCGAAGGCAGCGCGAGCTTCCCAAGCCGCGGTGAGGAATACGAACGCCTGGACGAGCATGATCAGCATGTGCAAGTACTTGACGGTGTAGTCGTCGACATACGCACAAAGCAATCTCCTTCCCGCCAGCCACAGCGTCACGGCTATGACTTCCTATTTATACGGTTCCTGAATGGCCGTTCTTGGCGCTGATATCCAGTCGGAAGCTGTGAAATAGAAGATCGGCTCTTGATGGCCATGGTTCTCCACAGATTGATATCATACTTTGGTATTGCACCCTTCAAGAGGACCTGAAACTAGTTAACATCGGTAGTGGTGGCCCCATTTGGTTTAGATCCGTGGGTTTGCTTCCCACAGGGTCTACTTGGATCTGTCTTTTCGCCTAATGAACCGTAGTATTCCTTTGCTTGGCTGCGGCAAATAAGAAGCGCTTTGAAAGCCAGAATACCGTTGAATGAGACAACGCGAGCCGTAAAAATACTGCAACGGAGGAAGTACTGACATCCGGCCCGCTTTGCCATACTTACAATATATTAATTGACTAATCTGAGTGCTGATCCACGAGATCGCTGTACGGCTCCACCCCGCCGATGGCCAAATGGACCGCTCTCTTGGGTGAGCCGCAAATTGGTTTTAGGTGCTGCACTGAGCGAGTTCTTAAGAAACAGATTGCTGGCAAGAGTGCAGACCATCGAAAACAAAAAGGGGTTTGAAGGTCACGCCAGAAACGTTTCTTTTAATGAGTCTTTATAAATTCCATAAGTACCTACCAGCCTGGAGAAGATACCACTCCTCGCTTAGAATACACGGTGCAGAGCGCGGAATCGACAGTGATGTATATATTGCTACTTGATACAAGAAGCCTCTCTATAAACATTCCCAATATCAAACATTGTAAGCCAGGCTTGGGATTAGCTATATACAAGGGTGTGCAAAGGATGAAGCAATCAGATGTGCTCTGCAATGCCAATTGAGTTGTTACCGCCGTTGAAGGCAACAAACTGAGACTTGAAGAAGATGTCACCATAGATTTGGAGCGAGGATGTCGTGGCCTGAAGACCGCCAAAGCAAGCTGTCGATGAGTGTTAGCCGAGAAAGATCAACTGAAAGTGAACGACGAATCTGCACTCACTATTGTCTTGGACCTGGGCAAAGACAATATCGCTTCCCTTTACCTTGGCCATTGTGCCACCGACATCCAACATCAAATCCGGCAGATCGGCATCACATGGAACAGTGACGCCACCGACTTGCTGGTCATCAACTGCACCTTGAACTTGAGAATAATACCCGTTCACAGTCTCGGTGCTCGCAAGAATCAGAGTTGTACCAGTATCAGCAATAGCCTGGCCGTCTGCGGCACCCTGCTGAGCAGCCCCAGTTCCGACAGCAAACTGTGTGCTAGAGAATTGCCAAAAGCCCTGCGTTGTGTTGATGGGGACCCAGGTCATCTGCCCGGTGAACTTGCTGGTGTCAATACGACCAAATTCATATGCGCCGGTTGCCTCCTTGCGAAGATCGGCAGTGAATACGGGCTCATTAAGGGATGGGATGACGTTGTCAAAGAAAGTCTTCTGTTGCTGCGGCTTGACAGTATTGAGCTGGGAGAAGGCGAGTCCCAGCAGACCGTTGTTAGCCGTGTCTTGAATGAAGGAATCAGACACTGCAGTGGCCATCTCAATGGCCTGTTCTGTGACAGTCGCGCCACCCAGTGAGACTGTATCAGTTCCAACATTTCCAGCAGCACCAGAGCCGTCACCGTACGTGATGGAGAAGCTGGCCCCTTGGAGAAGTTTGAAGGTGGATGACTGAGTGGGGTCGTAGAGAGTGTGGCCGGTTGTGGCTTGGTTGGAGAGCTGAGTATTGAACACCCACAAATCGGAAGAGCCCGAATCGAAATCGAGATTGAGGGTTTGGCCTCCGATGGTCACGGGTGAAAGATACTCCACGTCGTTTGCTTCCGGAGTGGCTGTCACCAGGCCCACACCTGCGGTACTGTTCGTTGAGACTGTGGTATTGCCGGCGTTACCGGTGTTGCCTGTGTTGCCAGTGTTGCCAGCATTGCCTCCGGTACCAGCCCCCTTTCCCTTTCTGCCTCTGCCCTTCCCCTTGGCCTTGGTCTGGACTGCACTCACGGTGACGTCCTCCGCCTCTGAAGTCGCTGAGCCCTGACCGTTTCGGATAGCGTCAAGTAGAGCAGCTGGAATAGGCATGCTGTATTTGCGGTATGCCTTGAGAAGTTGCCTTGGCCCATTGTGACCCTTGAAGTTCTCATTCTTTACTCGAGGGACTTTGAAAGACCGTTTCTGTATTTGGCTCGGAGCAGCAGCAACCAAGGACGCCAGGAGGCCGAGAAAGACGAGCACGTTCAGCAGGGAATGCATGTTCGCCATGGTTAGTTCGGTCGACAAGAGACAAATCTATCCTTTAAGAAAAGAAGCCACTCCAGGTGGTCGGCGTGAATGAGTGAAGGGAAGGAATGGGAATTCGTATTCAACTACCGAAACTCCCCGCCTGTGCCAGACAAACAACGAACAAAGAACGGAAGGGGTGACAAGAACAGGACGAGAGAAGAGAACGGAATAGAGAGAAGAAGGAGAAGAAGAGAAGAATGCTGGAGGCACATTGGGAACAAAGGGCATGTCTACTTGATATGCCATCTCCTAATGCGGGCTGCCCCATGGCTACTCACTCGGACCAGTCCAGGGCAGTAAATGAGGCCAGGATGACCCTGGCCCGGAAAGGAGGCAGGATGCCTGCTCACTCTACTTGAGTCCAAGCCCCGAGCTTCAAAAGATCGGGTCGGGGCTGGCAGTGCGGCGCAAGGACGTAGCATACCAAAGAAACTGCGTCGTCACGACCAGACCGTTTTGGTCAGTGAGTGGCCGAGTCGAGCCAGGTGGTGGTCGCGGACTTGGCATCCAAAACGGACGCAGTTGCACCAGGGAACATGCTCAAGACAAGCGATGCAGCATGTTAGTGGAGTGTTGGGCAGGCTGACGACGACTGCAGGAATCGCCAGAGGACAGGGGAAGCCTGGTCAAGCCAGGGGAGAGGAGATGTGCAAAGCGGCAGGAAGAGGCGAGTTGAATTGGGTCACGTCGAGGCTCAATGAGCCAAGTCGACACAACCAGCCTCCTGGAGGAGCAGGGGGCTGCTCGGAGCTTTTCCAGAACGTTGCGGCGCAAAACCCCACAAACCAAGCCGGGAAATCTAAGAGGCTAAGGCAAGGGGCGACGGCGGCTTCAGGAGCAGTAGCGAGTTTGGGGGGAGCCCTGTCACACCTACGCTGCACTGCAGGACTCCTGGGCGATGGTGGCTGGCTTTGTTTCATGAAACCAATTGACTCTCCAGAAAAGTACCTCGTTGTATGCACACGCATATCATCGACTTGGTTGATCTCGCAATTGCCTGCGGTAGCTTCTACGGCAATGGATAGCCGAGCATACATTTAGCGAATAAATGCCTCTATCTTCGTGATGCTATCGGTCAAAGCCACTGGGACTTTGACGTAAATAGACAGATGTGAAGTGAGCAACGAAGGCAATACATTACTTGCAGCAGGTGAGGTACAAGACAACAATGTAGTCGCGGCTCTGGCTAGTGGCTGATCGACTGGATGTGTAGAGTGCCGTGGTCATTGGTAGCCCTACACATGTACTTCTGGCTCTGTTTCATGTTTCAGCATGGTCATTGTACAGTACCCAGCCAAATCCATCGCGATCCTCTTTCCCAAAGCTTGTCACGCTCTTGGCTAAAGCTTTGGTATGCAATCAGATTGTCGTGGAGATGATGGCAACGACAAGCTTTCCCTATTGCCTTGGCATATCTGAGGATGCTGCTCGCACTGAAAGAACGTTCTGCTGGGCAGGGTGTACTCACATTGAAGCCAGTTGTTCAGCAGGGCCGCCGGAAACTTGTCTTCTTCGAACTGGATGACTTACTTGGACGCTACGGTTTGAGGACAGTGGGGAGGTCTAACAGTGGAAATAATCGACGATTCGAACGGGACAGTACCCGGGTCCAGCGCGCCACCGTAGATCGTCTGCCGCTAACTTGGCCCCCCTGGAGCAAATCCGGGTCAGCATGCGGTCTCTACTGCAGCGATGCAGGCATGAGAAGCCATGACACCGCATCTGTGCGATGAAATGCAATAGAATAGTCTATTTGATAATACTGTTCCTTTCTCATCAATGACACTGTCGGTCGCATGCCTCATAACCCGCGCAGCTCAGCCTCCACGCAAGCATAGCGAATTTCAGAGAAAGCTTGATACGCTTGGGCGACGCTCGTTCAGATGAAGTAGAAACCGGCCTTCGGAAGTGTTCTGGATAGCAAGACACAACATACCCGAGCCCCCAATCGGATCCACTGTCCAACAATTCAAGAGTTGCAATGCACAGTTCTGATGCTTACAGAGTACATGCCAGCTTGCTGTTGGTCCAGCCAGGATCGCTCTGCTGTTACTGTCATGGACTTACGTACACACGGCGCTCTCTTAATGCGGCCCTGGGATCTTCCCATCGCCTCATTCTCCCTTGTGGGCTTGTGGGGACGACCTGATGTGCGTCTTAGTGGGCAGATATCGAAACAGACCCTTGGGGCCTCTGAAACGCAAGATGCGCCTGGCGCCCACATCCCACCAATGAGTACACCAAAGCCATTTCACTCAACCTGAGAACATCTAACATCATGTGTCATCAATTCTCTTTTCCATACAGTCGTTTGGGGTGCATTTCCTCACTCGCAGAGCCTACTATGCAGTACACACAGGAGATCCACACTCAAAGATGGCGGCGAGTCTTTGCTCCGGTCTAAGTGGCCTACAAGTCACAAGACATCAAGTCAACACGGTCGCTCTTGGCCCCGGGGTGCTCCACGGCTCGGCGATGCTTCTTTCTCAGATCTCCTTGGCGAGCAAGGAACCTGCAAATCCCCTCCCGGGACCATCATGACCATGCCTGTAGCGATCATTCGAGCCGCCCCCCCCCCCCCCCCCCCCCCCCC